AAAAATGTCTGGTTCTATTTTTCTGTAGTTTCTGGAGAAGAAGACGGCCTCTGTCTTGGAAACGTTCAGGGCTATTTTCCAAGTAGAGTACCATGCTTCTAGTTTCTGTAGGTGTTCGTTTAGTGCTTGGCCTATTTTTGGTGAAAAGTTGTGTCTTGCTAGTATCGCAGTGTCATCTGCATACATGCATATTTTTGTATTTTGGTGTTTAGGGATGTCGTTCACGTAGTAATTGAACAAGGTGGTTGAGAGGATTCCTCCTTGAGGGACTCCAGCTTCAACTTTTCTTAGATTTGATAGTTGTTCATTAACGGTGACTTGAAAGCTTCTATTGCGTAGATATGAGTTTATTATTTTTACGAGATATGCAGGGGTGTTGTAGTTGATCATTTTGAAAATTAAACCTGTATGCCAGACTCGGTCAAAGGCTTTCTGGATATCCAGGAAGACCACACCAGTATTTTGACTTTTGTAAAATCCAGTCTTGATGAATTCCACTACTCTGAGCAGTTGGTGTGATGTGGATAATTTCGGGACGAATCCATGTTGTTCGTGGATGATGATATCGTGGTCTTGTAGAAATTTTGATAGTCTATTGTGGATTATTTTTTCGGCTAGTTTGCAGAGGATTGGTAATAAGGAAATTGGTCTGTAGTTTTCGGGCCGGGTAGGATCCTTACCCGGTTTCAGGATAGGGATGACAACAGCGGTTTTCCAGGAATCCGGGAAGTAACCGAGATCTAGCATATTGTGAATGATGTTTCTTAGTTGAAAGATGCAGAGGTGTGGCAAGTTTTTTATCATTTTATTGGTGATGCCTTCTCTCCCTGGTGCTTTTTTGATTTTTATTTTCTTTATGTAATCTGCAATTTCTGAGGCTAGTGGTGGAGGGTAATCCGCATTTCGGAAATTTTCTTCATTTTGTAGATAGTTATGAACGACATCCTTTACATTATCGTCGTGAATAGGTGTGTTTATGTCATTTAATTTGAATTGGTTTTGTAGTGAATCTGCCAAAATTTCTGATTTTTCAGTGTTACTAAGTGCGATACTAGCTGGGCCTTTAAGGGCAGAGATAGGAACTCGCTTTTTTCTGAATGCTTTGGCCATACCCCAAAGGTTACCGCTTTCAGCACTCAGATTTTCAAGCGTGTCTTCCCATTCTTTGTTTTTGTGTAAGTGCACTTTACGCCTAATTTCGTTTTGAATTCTGTTTAAAATTTCTTTATCGGCAGGAAAGCGGGTGAATTGCCAGGTTTTTCTGGCTTTGTTTCTTTTTCTGAATAAATCCCGAAGTTCCTGTCCGATGAAAGTCTGTTTGCTAGTATTTATGGGTTTTGAGGCGATTTTATGTGCACTTAAAATGTTTTGTGTGAGTTCTGCGACTTGTTTTTCAATATCCTCTCCACTGTTTGCTTTGGGGAGTGTGAATGTGTTGATTGTGTTTTCTAGCAATGTGTTTTTGAAAAGAGCCCAATTTGTACGAACTTTTGGTTCAGGGAGTTCGTATCTACTCTGTGTATCGAAGTGGATCAGCACAGGGTTGTGATCGCTACTTAACTCCGGTAGCGAGTGAATTTGAGAGGGCCAATGAAAGTTCTTGGTAATTGCTATATCGATGATGGAGGCGGAGTTATGTCCGTAGCGTGTTGGAGTGGGCGGGGTTAGGATTTCTAAGCCGTTTTGATTGGCAAAATTTCTTAATGTGTTACCTCGAGATGAATTATAAGTGCAGCCCCAGCTAGTGTGCTTAGCATTAAGATCTCCACAAATTAATGAAATCGGCCCTAAATTTTGAATAGTCTGAATATCCTTTGGTACTAATGAGGCTCTAACAGATGGTGGTATATACATTGAGGTAACGAGTAATGGGTTTCCATCTGTTGGGGTGAGTGCAACAATGGTTGCTTCTGCACCGTTTAGTGAGGGTGTTGGGATTTGGTAGTGTGGGAGAGGCTTTTTAATTAAAATTGCAGTGCCACCGTAGGGTTTATTGGTCGTTGCAGTGGGTGTTCTATCGTTTCTGTGTATGGTGTAGTTAGGCATAGAGAATTTCATACCCGGTCCTAGATGTGTTTCTTGTAAAAGAATTAAATCTGGGGAGTGCTTATCAATAAAGTGTCGCAATTCAATATCACGACACTTTACTCCTCGGGCGTTCCAGGTAACCAGTTTGAGGCCGAGTAGGGTGAATTTTAGTTATTGATTGTGGGTGGTGAAGCGACCACTCCCGTTATAAAGATATTAAGTTTATCAAGATCGTTATTGACTTTGGACATATTATTCAGTGCTTCAAAAAGTTTAGGGAACTTATTGAATAGGTTTTGAAGTTCACTGATTGCAGTGATGAAGTTGAAATTTCCTGGGCAATTATTAGTATTATTACTATTAATTTGGGTATTAGGGGTGTTTGTCGGATCAAACTGATTTGAAGCTTCGGTCTGTTTTGGTGCTATGGGTGGCGCCATCTCTCTGGTGGTATTGTTGCTACAAACTCTCGCAAAAGTGAAATCTGCAGTAACTGGTCTTGATTCTATTATGGTGTTTCTTTCGACTATTTTTTGGGTTACTTCTCCTTTTTTTGGTTTCTTTTTAGGGAATAAGGGGCAGCCTTGCCAGGATGCCATATGATTTTGTTTGCAGTTAATGCAGGTTGGATTCTCAAGTCTTTCTTTTATTTCGCACTCTCCGGTACGATGGTTTGCTCCGCATTTCAGGCAACGGGTGTTCATCCGGCAGTTCATCGACGAATGGTGAAAATAGTTGCAGTTGTAACACTGCGTTGTTGTTTGTTTTTTTCTTGAATGGCACTATTTTCACCATTATGTGCATTACTGCACTGATCTTATAGATGTCGAGGGCGTCCTCGGTTCTTCTCACCTCTACCATGAAGATGGGGAGGGGGAGTTTAGTTTTGAGCTGGCGTAGCTGAGCGACTTTCTGGACTTTAATGCCTTGGTTTTCCAGATCTTCCTTGATATCTTCTATTTCAGCGTGAGATGGAAGGCCTTTGATACAGACCTTCAAAGGCCTCTCAGATAAGGGCTGGATTACGTAGTATTCCGCGTTCATGTTGGTTAGCTGGGTGGTGATTCCTCTATGGTCGTCTTCTGATTCGGGGTTGATCTTAATATATTGTCCTGAGAGTTTGCAGGTTGACTTTGGAAAATTTCTATTGATGGCCTGGATTATTAAATTGTAGTTAGGAGTAAGCTTCAGCATTATTGGTTGAATTTTGGGTTGTGGTGGCGGGAGGTCGGCGTCAGCTTCGTCTGGATAGCAATCCGATAAAGTGTCAAAGCTATTGCTTACATTTAATTTATCTGATTGAACATTTATTCTTTTATTATTTTTAATGGTTTTAATAGGTTTTGAAAAACCTTCGTTATCGATGGTGCGCTGAGCTTTAGGAGCTCTGCTCGTACTTGGCTGGGCCTCGTTAGGCTTAGTTGTTTGGCTGATATTACATGAGTCAGCCATTCTTTTCCTCAAATTTTTAATGCTATTGTTATTATTATTAAGGTTTAAATCTTTATGCAGTTTACAGTTTTTAACTGGGCAAAGTGAAAAAGTATTCAGCTCACCTGTTAGTCTGTTGAGATCCTTATCTATAGTTCCTTTTTCAGTAAGAAGGTCCGTGGCCGTTCTTGAGTCTTTTTTCATCGGATTTTGCTTTTCAACCTCAATGAGTTCATTGATGTATCTGTCTCGGCTGCAATACGTTGATTTGATGGATCAATAACTGGATTGTCTCACAAATTTGTGAATCACTTGGCGCTGCAATATTGCTCTCAGAAGAGTTGGCTATTTCCATCGGATGCTCCGCCGCAACGGCGGCCATGTTAGGCTTCTCTCGTTCCATAGAATCCAGACGTGTTGAATCCTCGAAGTCCACACGTAGAATTTTAATAATAAAAAGATCAAACAAAACAGTAATATGATCTTTTGTTGTTACCTCTTCCGCAACAGCTTCATGATAATTTAATAATATCCAAAGCGATCGAAGAAAAAACGTAAGCTGAAATAGACAAGTCGCTCTTCATGCGACCGTACTCTCTCGCGAGCACGTGTGTGAATCATCAGAGCTTGCGAGTAATGCCGAGGTTGTGAGTTCGATCCTCACCTGGGGAAAGCCTTATTTTACACCGTTAGGAATAAAGCGAGATTCCTCATCTGAAATTAGAAACCACGTTTCTTTAGTGGAGCTAAAAGTCTAAATCGAAATTCGTCCAAATGAATAATCGGTTTTTCTCTGAGATCGAGAACATTATCAAATAATTTATGTAGAATTAACTTGCTGTTTGTTTTGCAAGTGATGACAACGTGATTTGTCTCTTCGGTGGCGTTATAGGGCAGCGTGCATGCATTACAGATCTCTTGGTTAGTTGGCTATTTATTAACGTCGCAATATAAGACCCGACGGACCTCTCAATTTTTGAACTTCGCTCAAATGTGACGAGCACAACACCTGAGGTAAATGGTTTCCTCCCTAACTAACTCCAGTCTCCACCCAAAACTTCCACGCCATCGAGAAGACTTTGGCAATGTTAAATATAACGTGATTCGGGGAAGACTACTTTTCGGGAATTTAGAGGCACCGACACTCGAATCTACGACTTGACGATAACCGATTACGAGTCCTCATGCTTAAGCTTCACGCCACCGCATTCTCTATATAATAGAGTAGTTATTGCCGGGAAATGGCGAAATTGTTAGTTCGTTCTACACATGGGAAAGGAATTATTATTGAAAATGGCGCATTATTTATAGTAGTATTCGCCACTGGAAAATGACATTATCTTAGATGGAATCATTTTAAACACTTAACGGTCTACGCTCGGCCAGAAAACAAAAAAATTAAATTAACAAATCGTATTAAGATGATTTGTATCATTCCAGGTGAAAAAATTATAATTATGTTCATATTATTGTATTTTTTTATAAAATGCATTCATTTAAATATATCGTTTTCGTATAATTTGGTATTTAATTTTCTGTGTTCTTCAGTATCGCAATTGGTGAGCTCGCGGTACTTATGCATCAGTACTTTCAAGAAACGCCGAGGTTGTGAGTTCCATCCTCACTTGGGGAAAGTTTTATGTTTTAGAGTGCAGGAACTGAAATAAAACTCCTGAATAGGGGATTTTTTTAATTATTTTCATTTTCGTACAAATTGTAAAAAAAATTGTAATATAAATTTAAATTTTCTTACTATTTCCTTCCTTGGAACAATATATATTAAACATAAGCGTGCTTTGAAAATTTTTATTTAGATACAACCACAACGAAATTCTGTTTCCTAAAGCCGTAATCGTAGAGCACATGTAACTTATGAAGCAATACTTCTAAAGAATGCCGAAATTTTGAATTCGATATTCATCAGGAAATTTTTCGATTCTACGAAGAAAGTCAGAAAGCACGAGACCTTCATTCGGAGGAAATATTAAAAACACATTATTAAGCAAATCAACCTTTTAAGTAAAAATATTAGAAGTAAATTCTTTACGCTTGTTTTTAGTAATTTATTATTTTTATTCCAAAAAAAAATTGGAAGTATTGAAGAGGATTTCCGATCCCCAGTGGCGCAATTGGTTAGCGCGCGGTACTTATAGATCAGTGCTTGCGAGTCATGCCGAGGTTGTGAGTTCGATCCTCACCTGGGGAAAGCCTTATTTTACACCGTTAGGAATAAAGCGAGATTCCTCATCTGAAATTAGAAACCACGTTTCTTTAGTGGAGCTAAAAGTCTAAATCGAAATTCGCCCAAATGAATAATCGGTTTTTCTCTGAGATCGAGACAATTTTAGAGAACATTATCAAATAATTTATGTAAAATTAACTTGCTGATTGTTTTGCAAAAGATGCCAACTTGATTTGTCTGTTCGGTGGCGTTATAAGGTAGCGTGCATGCATTACAGATCTCTTGGTTAGTTGGCTATTTATTAACGTCGCAATATAAGACCCGGACCAATTCTCTCTTTTCGCTCAAATGCTGACGAGCACAACAGAGTAAATGGTTTCTCCTAACAACTCCAGTCTCCACCCAAAACCCGCCATCAGAAGACGCAATGTTAAATATGATTCGGGGAAGACTACTTTCGGGAATTTAGAGGCACCGACACTCGATCTGACTTGACGATAACCAATTGATTCCTCGTAGCAGCTTCCCCGCATTCTCTATATAATAGAGTAGTTATTGCCGGGAAATGGCGAAATTGTTGATTCGTTCTCATGGGAAAGAATTATTATGAAAATCGATTATTTATAGTAGTATTCGCCACTGGAAAATGACATTATCTTAGATGGAATCATTTTAAACACTTAACGGTCTACGCTCAGAAAACAAAAAAATTAAGACAGCTCACAAATCGTATTAACTGATTTGTATCATTCCAGGTGAAAAAATTATAATTATGTTCATATTATTTATTTTTTTATAAATAATTCATTTAAATATATCGTTTTCGTATAATTTGATTTAATTTTCTGGTTCTTCAGTATCGCAATTGGTGAGCTCGGTACTTATGCATCAGTACTTTCAAGAAACGCCGAGGTTGTGAGTTCCATCCTCCTTGGGATTTTATGTTTTAGAGCAGGAACTGAAAAAACTCTGAATAGGGATTTTTAATTATTTTCATTTTCAGTACAAATTGTAAAAAAAATTGTAATATAATTTAAATTTTCTTATATTTCCTTCCTTGGAACAATATATATTAAACATAAGCGTGTTGAAAATTTTTATTTAGATACAACCACAACGAAATTCTGTTTCCTAAAGCCGTAATCGTGAGCACATGAACTTATGAAGCAATACTTCTAAAGAATCCGAAATTTTGAATTCGATATTCAAGGAAATTTGATTCTATGAAATCAGAAAGCACGAGACCTTCATTCGGAAATATAAAAACACATTATTAACAAATCCTTTTAAGTAAAAATATTAGAAGTAAATTCTTTACGCTTGTTTTTAGTAATTTATTATTTTTCAAAAAAATTGAAATATTGAAGAGGATTTCGATCCCAGTGGCAATTGGTTAGCGCGCGTACTTATAGATCAGTGCTTGCAGAGTCATGCGAGGTTGTGGGTTCGATCCTCACCTGGGAAAGCTATTTTACACGTTAGGAATAAAGCGAGATCCTCATCTGAAATTAAAACCACGTTTCTTTAGAGTAAAAGTCTAAATCGAAATTCGTCAAATGAATAATCGGTTTTTCTGAGATCGAGAAATTTTGAGAACATTATCAAATAATTTATGTAGAATTAACTTGCTGTTGTTTTGCAAGTGATGACAACGTGATTTGTCTCTTCGGTGGCGTTATGGGCAGCGTGCATGCATTACAGATCTCTTGTTTGGTTATTTATTAACGTCGCAATATAAGACCCGACGGACCTCTCAATTGTTGAACTCAAATCGTAACGAGCACCTGAGGTAAATGGTTTCTCCTAACTAATCAGTCTCCACCCAAACTTCCACGCCATCGAGAAGACTTTGGCAATGTTAAATATAACTGATTCGGAAGACTACACTTCGGGAATTTAGAGGCACCGACACTCAATCTACGACTTGACGATAACCGATTACGAGCCTCATGCTTAAGCTTACGCCACCGCATTCTCATATAATAGAGTAGTTATTGCGGGAAATGGCGAAATTGTTAGTTCGTTCTACACATGGGAAAGGTATTATTGAAAATGGCGCATTATTTATAGTAGTATTCGCCACTGGAAAATGACATTATCTTAGATGGAATCATTTTAAACACTTAACGGTCTACCTCGGCAGAAAACAAAAATTAAGACAGCATTTACAAATCGTATTAGAGTGATTTATCATTCCAGGTGAAAAATTATAATTATGTTCATATTATTTATTTTTTATAAAATCATTCATTTAAATATATCGTTTTCGTAAATTTGGTTAATTTTCTGTGTTCTTCAGTATCGCAATTGGTGAGCTCGGTACTGCATCAGTACTTTCAAGAAACAGTTGTGAGTTCCATCCTCATTGGGGAAGTTTTATGTTTTAGAGTGCAGGAACTGAAATAAACTCTAGAAGGATTTTTTATATTTTCATTTTCGTACAAATTGTAAAAATTGTAATATAAATTTAAATTTTCTTACTATTTCCTTCCTTGGAAAATATATATTAAACATAAGCGTGCTTGAAAATTTTATTTAGATACAACCACAACGAAATTCTGTTTCCTAAAGCAATCAAGAGCACATGTAACTTATGAAGCAATCTTCTAGAATGCAGAAATTCGATATTCATCAGGAAATTTTTCGATTCTACGAAATCAGAGAAGAGACCTTCATTCGAGGAAATATTAAAAACTATTAAGCAAATCAACTTTTAAGTAAAATATTAAGTAAATTCTTTCACTTGTTTTTATATATTTTTATTCCAAAAAAAATTGGAAGTATTGAAGAGGATTTCGATCCCCAGTGGCGCAATGGTTGCGCGGGTACTTATAGATCAGTGCTTGCATCATGCCGAGGTTGTGAGTTCATCCTCACCTGGGAAAGCCTTATTTTACACCGTTAGGAATAAAGCGAGATTCCTCATCTGAATGAAACCACGTTTCTTTGGATACAAAGTCTAAATCGAAATTCGTCCAATGAAATAATCGGTTTTCTCTGAGATCGAGAATTTAGAGAACATTATCAAATAATTTATGTAGAATTAACTTGCTGTTTGTTTTGCAAGTGATGACAACGTGATTTGTCTCTTCGCGTTACAGTGCCGGTTGACTGCGTAAATCGCAGACCGACGGACCTCTCAATTTTGAACTTCGCTCTCTGACGACAACACAGGTAAATGGTTTCTCCCTAACTAACTCCAGTTCCTCAAAACTTCCACGCCATCGAGAAGACTTTGGCAATGTTAAATATAACGTGATTCGGAAGACTACTTTCGAATTTAGAAACCACACTCGAATCTACGACTTGACGATAACCGATTACGAGTTCATGCTTAAGCTTCACGCCACCGCATTCTCTATATAATAGAGTAGTTATTGCGGGAAATGGCGAAATTGTGTTCGTTCTACACTGGGAAAGAATTATTATTGGCGCATTATTTATATAGTATTCGCCACTGGAAAAGGACATTATCTTAGATGGAATCATTTTAAACACTTAACGGTCTACGCTCGGCAGAAAAACAAATTGCAGCATTTCACAAATCGTATTAAGTGATTTGTATCATTCAGGTGAAAAATTATAATTATTGTTCATATATTTATTTTTTAAAAAATGCATATTTAAATATATCTTTTCGTATAATTTGGTTTAATTTTCTGTGTTCTTCAGTATCCAATTGGTGAGCTCTACTTATGCATCAATCTTTCAAGAAACGCCGAGGAGTTCATCCTCACTTGGGAAGGTTTATGTTTTAGAGTGCAGGAACTGAAGTAAAACTTGAATAGAGTTTTTTTAATTATTTTCTTTTTTCGTACAAATTTAAAAAAATTGTAATATAAATTTAAATTTTCTTACATTTCCTTCCTTGGAACAATATATATTAAACATAAGCGTGCTTTGAAAATTTTATTTGATACAACCAGAAATTCTGTTTCCTAAAGCCGTAATCGAGCACATGTAACTTATGAACAATACTAAGAATGCGAAATTTTAATTCGATATTCATCAGGAAATTTTTTCTATAGAGAATTCAGAAAGCACGAGACCTTCATTCGGAGGAAATATTAAAAGCACATTATTAAGCAAATCAACCTTTTAAGTAAAAATATTAGAAGTAAATTCTTCACGCTTGTTATTCGTAATTTATTATTTTTATTCCAAAAAAAAATTGGAAGTATTGAAGAGGATTTCCGATCCCCAGTGGCGCAATTGGTTAGCGCGCGGTACTTATAGATCAGTGCTTGCGAGTCATGCCGAGGTTGTGAGTTCGATCCTCACCTGGGGAAAGCCTTATTTTACACCGTTAGGAATAAAGCGAGATTCCTCATCTGAAATTAGAAACCACGTTTCTTTAGTGGAGCTAAAAGTCTAAATCGAAATTCGCCCAAATGAATAATCGGTTTTTCTCTGAGATCGAGACAATTTTAGAGAACATTATCAAATAATTTATGTAGAATTAACTTGCTGTTTGTTTTGCAAGTGATGACAACGTGATTTGTCTCTTCGGTGGCGTTATAGGGCAGCGTGCATGCATTACAGATCTCTTGGTTAGTTGGCTATTTATTAACGTCGCAATATAAGACCCGACGGACCTCTCAATTTTTGAACTTCGCTCAAATGTGACGAGCACAACACCTGAGGTAAATGGTTTCCTCCCTAACTAACTCCAGTCTCCACCCAAAACTTCCACGCCATCGAGAAGACTTTGGCAATGTTAAATATAACGTGATTCGGGGAAGACTACACTTCGGGAATTTAGAGGCACCGACACTCGAATCTACGACTTGACGATAACCGATTACGAGTCCTCATGCTTAAGCTTCACGCCACCGCATTCTCTATATAATAGAGTAGTTATTGCCGGGAAATGGCGAAATTGTTAGTTCGTTCTACACATGGGAAAGGAATTATTATTGAAAATGGCGCATTATTTATAGTAGTATTCGCCACTGGAAAAGGACATTATCTTAGATGGAATCATTTTAAACACTTAACGGTCTATGCTAGGGCAGAAAACAAAAAAATTAAGACAGCATTTCACAAATCGTATTAAGCTGATTTGTATCATTCCAGGTGAAAAAATTATAATTATTTTCATATTATTCTACTTTTTTATAAAATGCATTCATTTAAATTTATCGTTTTCGTATAATTTGGTGTTTAATTTTCTGTGTTCTTCACTATCGCAATTGGTGAGCGCGCGGTACTTATGCATCAGTACTTTCAAGAAACGCCGAGGTTGTGAGTTCCATCCTCACTTGGGGAAGGTTTTATGTTTTAGGGTGCAGGAACTGAAGTAAAACTCCTGAATAGGGGATTTTTTTAATTATTTTCATTTTCGTACAAATTGTAAAAAAAATTGTAATATAAATTTTCTTACTATTTCCTTCCTTGGAACAATATATATTAAACATAAGCGTGCTTTGCAAATTTTATTTAGATACAACCACAACGAAATTCTGTTTCCTAAAGCCGTAATCGGAGAGCACATGAAGGCATTGCTAACAGAAAATTAAATACCAAATTATACGAAAACGATATATTTAAATGAATGAATTTTATAAAAAAATAGAATAATATGAAAATAATTATAATTTCACCTGGAATGATACAAATCACCTTAATACGATTTGTGAAATGCTGTCTTAATTTTTTGTTTTCTGCCGAGCGTAGATCGTTAAGTGTTTAAAATGATTCCACTAAGATAATGTCCTTTTCCAGGCGAATACTACTATAAATAATGCGCCATTTTCAATAATTCCTTTCCCATGTGTAGAACGAACAAAATTCTGCCATTTCCAGCAATAACTACTCTATCATATAGAGAATGCGGTGGCCTGAAGCTTAAGCATGAGGACTCGTAATCGGTTATCGTCAAGTCAGATTCGAGTGTTGGTGCCTCTAAATTCCCAAGTGTAGTCTTCCCGAATCACGTTATATTTAACATTGCCAAAGTCTTCTCGATGGCGTGGAAGTTTTGGGAGGAGACTGGAGTTAGTTAGGAGGAAACCATTTAGCTCAGTGTTGTCCTCGTCAGATTTGAGCGAAGTTCAAAATTGAGAGGTCCCTGGGTCTTATATTGCGACGTTAATAAATAACCAACTAATCAAGAATCTGTAATGCATGCACTCCTATAACGCCACCGAAGAGACAAATCACGTTGTCATCACTTGCAAAACAATAAGCAAGTTAATTCTACATAAATTATTTGATAATGTTCTCTAAAATTTCTCGATCTCAGAGAAAACCGATTATTCATTTGGGCGAATTTCGATTTAGACTTTTAGCTCCACTAAAGAAACTGGTTTATATTCAGATGGGGACTCTCGCTTTATTCTACGGTGTAAAATAAGGCTTTCCCAGGTGAGGATCGAACTCACAACCTCGGCATGACTCGCAGCACTGATCTATAAGTACCCGCGCAACCAATTGCCATGGGATCCAAATCCTTCAATACTTCCAATTTTTTTGGAATAAAAATAATAAATTACAAAACAAGCGTAAGAATTTACTTTAATATTTTACTTAAAAGGTTGATTTGCTTAATAATGTGCTTTAATATTTCCTCCGAATGAAGGTCTCGTGTTTGACTTTCTTCGTAGAATCGAAAATTTCCTGATGAATATCGAATTCAAAATTTCGGCATTCTTTAGAAGTATTGCTTCATAAGTTACATGTGCTCTCCGATTACGGCTTTAGGAAACAGAATTTCGTTGTGGTTGTATTCAAATAAAATTTTCAAAGCACGCTTATGTTTAATATATATTGTTCCAAGAAGGAAATAGTAAAAATTTAATTTATATTACAATTTTTTTTACAATTTGTACGAAAATGAAAATAATTAAAAATCCCTATTCAGAGTTTTACTTCAGTTCCTGCACTCTAAAACATAAACCTTCCCAAGTGAGGATCGAACTCAACCTCGGCGTTTCTTGAAAGTACTGATCATAAGTACCGCGCGCTCACCAATGCGATACTGAGAAGAACCAGAAAATTAAATACCAAATTATACGAAAAGATATATTTAAATGAATGCATTTTATAAAAAAATAAATAATATGAACATATTATAATTTTTCACCTGGAATGATACAAATCACTTAATACGATTTGAAAGCTGTTTAATTTTTTTGTTTTCTGCCGAGCGAGATCGTTAAGGTTTAAAATGATTCCATCTAAGATAATGTCCTTTCCAGTGGCGTACTACTATAATAATGCGCCATTTTCAATAATTCCTTTCCCATGTGTGAACGAACTCAAAATTTCGCCATTTCCAGCAATAATACTCTATCATATAGAGAATGCGGTGGCTGAAGCTTAAGCATGAGGACTCGTAATCTTATCGTCAAGTCGTAGATTGAGTGTCGGTGCTCTAAATTCCCGAAATGTAGTCTTCCCGAATCACGTTATATTTAACATTGCCAAAGTCTCTTTGATGGCGTGGAAGTTTGGGGAGACTGGAGTTAGTTAGGAGGAACCATTACTCATGTTGTCTCGTCACATTTGAGCGAAGTTCAAAATTGAGAGGTCCGTCGGGTCTTATATTGCGACTTAATAAATAACAACTAACAAGAGATCTGTAGCATGCACGCTACCTATAACGCCACCGAAAACAAATCACGTTGTCTCACTTGCAAAACAAACAGCAAGTTAATTCTACATAAATTTTGATAATGTTCTAAAATTGTTTCGATTTCAGAGAAAACCGATTATTCATTTGGGAATTTCATTTAGACTTTTAGCTCCACTAAAGAAACGTGGTTTATAATTTCAGATGGGGACTCTCGCTTTATTCCTACGGTGTAAAATAAGGCTTTCCCAGGTGAGGATCGAACTCACAACCTCGGCATACTCAAGCACTGATCTATAAGTACCGCGCGCTAACCAATTGCGCCATGATCCGAAATCCTCTTCAATACTTCCAATTTTTTTTTTAAAAAATAATATTACAAAAACAAGCGAAGAATTTACTTCTAATATTTTACTTAAAAGGTGATTTGCTTAATATATGTTTTTATATTTCCTCCGAATGAAGGTCTCGTCTTTCTGACTTTCTTCTAGAATCGAAAATTTCCTGATGAATATGAATTCAAATTTCGGCATTCTATGAAGTATTGCTTCATAAGTTACATGTGCTCTAGATTACGGCTTTAGGAAACAGAATTTCGTTGTGGTTGTATCTAAATAAAATTTTCACAGATTATGTTTAATATATATTGTTCCAAGGAAGGAAATAGTAAGAAATTTAAATTTATATTACAATTTTTTTTTACAATTTGTACGAAAATGAAATATAAAAATCCCTATTCAGAGTTTTACTCAGTTCCTGCACTCTAAAAAAACCTTCCCAAGTGAGGATCGAAATCACAACCTCGGCATTCTTGAAAGTACTATGCATAAGTACCACGCGCCACCAATTGCGATAGAAGAACACAGAAAATTAAATACCAAATTATACGAAAACGATATATTTAAATGAATGCATTTTATAAAAAAATAGAATAATATGAACATAATTATAAATTTCACCTGAATGATACAAATCACTTAATAAGATTTGTAAATGCTGTCTTAATTTTTTGTTTTCTGCCGAGTAGATCGTTAAGTGTTTAAAATGATTCCATCTAAGATAATGTCCTTTTCCAGTGGCGAATACTATAAATAATGCGCCATTTTCAATTCCTTTCCCATGGTAGAAAGAACTACTCGCCATTTCCCCAATAACTACTCATCATATAGAGAATGCGGTGGCCTGAAGCTTAAGCAAGAGACTCGTAATCGGTTATCGTCAAGTCGCAGATTGAGTGTTGGTGCCTCTAAATCTCGAAGTGTAGTCTTCCGAATCACGTTATATTTAACATTCAAAGTCTTCGATGATGCGTGGAAGTTTTGGGTGGAGACTGGAGTTAGTTAGGAGGAAACCATTTACCTCAGGTGTTGTGCCTCGTCAGCATTTAGCGAAGTTCAAAATTGAGAGGTCCTGGTCTCTATATTGCGACGTTAAATAAATAGCCAACTAACCAAGAGATACTTGAATGCAAGTTAATTCTACATAAATTATTTGATAATGCTCTAAAATTGTCTCGATCTCGAGAAAACCGATTATTCATTTGGGCGAATTTCGATTTAGACTTTAGCTACTAAAGAAACGTGGTTTATAATTTCAGATGAGGATCTCGCTTTATTCCTTAAGGTGTAAATAAGGCTTTCCAGGTGAGATCGAACTCACAACCTCGCATGACACGCAAGCACTGATCTATAAGTACCGCGCGCACCAATTGCGCCACTGGGATCGAACTTCTTCAATACTTCCAATTTTTGGAATAAAAATAATAAATTAAAACAAGCGTAAGAATTTACTTCTAATATTCTTACTTAAAGGTTGATTTGCTTAATAATGTTTTTAATATTTTCCGAATGAAGGTCTCGTCTTCTGACTTTCTTCGTAGAATGAAAATTTCGATGAATATGAATTCAAAATTTCGGCATTCTTAGAAGTATTGCTTCCATGTTA